TCTGCATGCTCTGCCAATCCCTAGGTACCTTACCCTCATCCATACATTTATTAAATAATTGCACCATATATATATATATTTAAATTTATATATATATAATATATATATATATATATATAATTATATATATAATAATATATATATATATATATATATTAATATATTAATATTATTATATTTATATATATATATATATATATATATAATAATATATATATATATATACTTATACATATTATTATATATTAATTATCCATTATATATCTATATATATATTTTAATATCTCATATATATACATAATATATTTTTACTTATTATAATATATATATTATATATTATTAATGTAATATACTGTCATACATTACTTTCAATATATTAATTCATATTCTATATATATATCTTTATTTATATATTATATATAATAAACTATCATTATATATTATACATATATACTATATATATTATCCATAATATATTATATTATTATTTATCCTATATACATATATATAAATATAGATATATATTTATCCATATACCTATATATATATACCCTATCATTAATTATATTATATATATATATCATCCATATATATATATATATATATACATGCCTACAACCTATGTACGTACATGCATACGTACATATAACATGACATATAACATTTATGAATATCGAAACGTCCGACGTATATGAAGACAGGTTGTGAATAGAATTAAAAATCTATTATTTTGTTTAAGATACGAGAACGTCGTCTAGAATTATGCCCCAGCAAGTCGTTTGGTTAGGCTTGACATTTGGAACTCAAGATTCCAGTGTTCACACGAGATGAACTTTACATGTACTGAGCGAGAAACTTAGACAACAAACTTTGCAATTTGGCCACTCAAGGCAAATAATGACTTTAAACAAATTACTTTATACCGGATGTACTAAACACTTAAGATTCATAGGGCGCCCGAAGGTTGGTAATGGAGAAAACTTGCAATATGTGGGCACTGGAGGGAGAGTACGGACTAGCATTAGTACAAAAGTAACGTTACAAAACAGAGCATAAACATATTTACAACCTTCACTGATGATAGTGTGTAGTGGTGCTCCCGAGGGTTCTGTCAAGGCATTTTCATTATTTCCATAAAGGCGCCGACTCCACGAGCAAATGACTGCGTTCCTTCTGTTGGCTTCGAATAGTTTGTTGACGTATCTACTGCGAGTGAATTACCTTATATAGGAACTTACATGCAGTAATAATGTTAGTAGAATTACTAATAACGATAGACGAAAGGGATATGTGTGCAATTAATGAGACAGTTTATTGTGACATCGTTTCGCTCTCCAGGAGTTTTGTCAAGTCAACGGTAGTGGAGAGCGAAACGTTACCACAATAAAATGTCTTAGTTGAACCAAACCCCGGCTGGGATTGAACCCGCGGTCAGAGAGTCGCGAAACTCCAGCCCATCGCGTTAGCCACTAGACCAGCTAGCCACAATAAGATTCGTCCAACTAGGTATATTTCTACACCATAGGAAGGTTAGCACAGGCACCACTGTGACCACAAATGCAAGTTTTTACAGACTAATCTCCAGCTAGCGTAGCTGGAGGTTAGCACAGTGGTGCCTGTGCTAACCTTCCTATGGTGTAGAAATATACCTAGTTGGACGAATCTTATTGTGGCTAGCTGGTCTAGTGGCTAACGAGACGGACTGGAGTTTTGAGACTCTCTGACCGCGGGTTCAATCCCAGCCGGGGTATGGTTTGTTTGCAATCGTGTCATTACGATTTCGTGAGTCATGTCTTAGTTGCATATGTGTCCTTTTAACGAACAGAAACATGTCTGAACGCGCCCATAAATACCTGTACGTGTGAAAACGAATGCATTAATGTGCATACATGCGATCATGTGTGAAGCAAATATACGTTATGAAGTGTATACAGGTGTGTTGAAAGAGGTGTTGTTGTGTTACCAAGGTGGGATTGATGCTATCAACCTTGACATTGACAAATACAATTAGCTTTAACTATTAACTCGCGTTCTTATCTTGTCCTCATCTATCACTTCTGCCATCAGACCACCGAGTGCAACACGGGTAAACCAGGTGCTCTTGCTGTGACGTGGGCACCGCACCACTCGCCTTCCTTCACGTGTCCCTGACGAATAAACATCCCATTGCTACACTCTCCGTACTCTCCACTTCATTTTCTCTCACCAACATGCACATGTATATTTGTATATTTTTGGTTTTGTCATGAATATGCGCTAAACTAATAATCAACAGCGCAAATGTACACATAAACCTTTTATAATTCCTGTGAACAACGACGGTGGTAACTTAAAATACATAACTTCTATTTTATAATTATAGTAAAGAGCTATAACGATTATTATAGCGTCTGTGGAATGGTAGGTAATCAAATTTCATCCAAGGAAGAGAACATTTCTAATTCCTCGGAACAAGAGCCCTTCACCATCAAGGATGTCATTTTAACCCCGTAACATTCACTTAAGGGGTAAAAACGAGGGTACGAATATTAATCAAGAGGGAGGTTAAGCAAACGAGTGTAGGAGTGCTTAAGCGTCCCTTCCATAGATGTTAAGGAAACTGGCCAAGGACACTGGCACGGTAGATGCTCAGAAAGCTTGATACCAGCTGAGTCACAGGAACGTCAGTCTGAGGGTGTCTAGGAAGTAGAACGACCTTGGATGATGGGAGTGCAGTCCATGCACTGTTTAAAGAATAACACTGATAGGTCATGAGGCCAGGAACAGCATTTTTTTCCGGAAAATCGAATACATCATAAATATGCTGCTACCTTATCCCATCAGTGTGGATTTCATACTTAGGGTAAAAATTATCAGCCTGACCTAAAAGACTTCATTACGGAAATAAGGATAGTGTAAGGTATTCTATTAAAAGTTCACCAGCTACGAGAAACATCATTCACTCCATCACTGTCTTGCCAGAAGGGTGCTTTACACTACAGTTTTTAAACTGCAACATTAACACCCCTCCTTCAGAGTGCAGGCACTGTACTTCCCATCTCCAGGACTCATGTCCGGCCTGCCGGTTTCCCTGAACCCCTTCATAAATGTTACTTTGCTCACACTTCAACAGCACGTCAAGTATTAAAAACCATTTGTCTCCATTCACTCCTATCAAACACGCTCACGCATGCCTGCTGGAAGTCCAAGCCCCTCGCACACAAAACCTCCTTTACCCCCTCCTTCCAACCTTTCCTAGGCCGACCCCTACCCCGCCTTCCTTCCACTACAGACTGATACACTCTTGAAGTCATTCTGTTTCGCTCCATTCTCTCTACATGTCCGAACCACCTCAACAACCCTTCCTCAGCCCTCTGGACAACAGTTTTGGTAATCCCGCACCTCCTCCTAACTTCCAAACTACGAATTCTCTGCATTATATTCACACCACACATTGCCCTCAGACATGACATCTCCACTGCCTCCAGCCTTCTCCTCGCTGCAACATTCATCACCCATGCTTCACACCCATATAAGAGCGTTGGTAAAACTATACTCTCATACATTCCCCTCTTTGCCTCCAAGGACAAAGTTCTTTGTCTCCACAGACTCTTAAGTGCACCACTCACCCTTTTCCCCTCATCAATTCTATGATTCACCTCATCTTTCACAGACCCATCCGCTGACACGTTCACTCCCAAATATCTGAATACATTCACATCCTCCATACTCTCTCCTTCCAATCTGATATCCAATCTTTCACCTAATCTTTTTATCCTCATAACCTTACTCTTTCCTGTATTCACTTTTAATTTTCTTCTTTTGCATACCCTACCAAATTCATCCACCAATCTCTGCAACTTCTCTTCAAAATATCCCAAGAGCAGTGTCATCAGCAAAGAGCAACTGTGACAACTCCCACTTTGTGTGATTCTTCATCTTTTAACTCCACGCCTCTTGCCAAGACCCTCGCATTTACTTCTCTTACAACCCCATCTATAAATATATTAAAACCACGGTGACATCACACATCCTTGTCTAAGGCCTACTTTTACTGGGAAATAATTTCCCTCTTTCCTACATACTCTAACTTGAGCCTCACTATCCTCGTAAAAACTCTTCACTGCTTTCAGTAACCTACCTCCTATACCATACACCTGCAACATCTGCCACATTGCCCCCCCATACGCCTTTTCCAAATCCATAAATGCCACAAAGACCTCTTTAGCGTTATCTAAATACTGTTCACTTATATGTTTTACTGTAAACACCTGGTCCACACACCCCCTACCTTTCCTAAAGCCTCCTTGTTCATCTGCTATCCTATTCTCCGTCTTACTCTTAATTCTTTCAATAATAACTACCATACACTTTACCAGGTATATTCAACAGACTTATCCCCCTATAATTTTTGCACTCTTTTCTTTTGTCCCCTTTGCCTTTATACAAAGGAACTATGCATGCTCTCTGCCAATCTCTAGGTACCTTACCCTCTTCCATACATTTATTAAATAATTGCACCAACCACTCCAAAACTATATCCCCACCTGCTTTTAACATTTCTATCTTTATCCCATCAATCCCGGCTGCCTTACCCCCTTTCATTTTACCTACTGCCTAATATATACATATATAGAGAGACAATGCAGCTTGGTAAAAAACTGCCCATGTAAATCCAGTGGCATACAAAGCGAGAGTACACACACACACACCTTAATACACAAATACTATATAATTACACGCATACATACACATGCATGCACACGTAAAATGCACACATGTTGTACGCACTACACACATGTAAGAAACAATTGCTGAGTATGCCACAAGCACAAAGTATATGAGAGTAAATGCTGCCAGCATACAAGGCACATGCGTGAGGAATAGGTGTTCCATTATTAAACATAGATGACCTATAGCAAGTAGTAGAGGAAGGAAAGGGTAAGGCTAGGTGCCGATATCCAACTCCCGAAGCCACAATCAGGTGAGTATATCAGGCTCCACACATTTTTACCATCTTAATCTTACCCGTCTATGAGGTAGTGTCGGGTTGAGGCCCGCCGGTCCAAAGTCAAGGTATGTAACCTGCCTGGCTATACACGTACAGCTTTGTGTGTATTTCAGTGAATAGACAGTTTACTTTAAGACCTATTTATAGGAGTGATGTGGCCTTGAATCATAAGTGACTTTGCTAAGTTAAATATTCATTACTTATTATCACTGTATGCCTACAACTGTCTTGTTCTTAACTGACGCAACCACTGCAGTGATTTCAATCATTCATTTTTCATATTCTCGAATGGCAAAAAGTTAACTTTAACATAAGTCATAAGTAATATTTTACTTCATTTAGGCTTGTTAGATCATCGTTCATTGACCATTTTTCCAATCAACGTTTGTTCTTCAACGCTGTTTTATCTTCGATATTGTCAGCAATAAGCTGATCTGTGCCAACACGGGCGGGCCACCGCCTGCCCATTGTACATACAAGACACTGACTTCTGACGACATTTACCATACAATTTTTTACGTTTTGTTACAGGTCAACCTTAGGAAGATGAATGTGTTGGAGATCTTCCCCTCCCTGATAACACTAAGTCCATCTGGCCACACCAGATAAGGTAAAATTTCGTGTACCGTATACAATTATTGTACAATTTATATATATAATTTGTATTTAAAATTTTAAGATTACAATTATGTATGTAGAAATTAATGAACATTTGTGAAATTTTATTACAATTAAGGAAGCGTAATTCAATAGGATTTAAAACCATCATACTACCCACATATTCTCCCCCAAATTCTTCACTACTCCTCAACAAGCTACATATAAGTATTAGAAACAGATCAAAACACCGCAGCTATTATAATTAAAACACTCATAAAAACCTAAGTAAACTGTCAGATTTATTTTTTCCCCAGATAGCGATGGAGTTGCATAATGAGCGAGGCTTAACTATGATACCGTTGGCGTGTACACGTTTGTCTTGACTCTGTGATAAGGAATTTAGTATGTCACTGGGGTAAAGGTTCCTTATATGCTACTTGTGCTTGTAACACAGCTACAACAACAGATCAATGTTTAGATGTCACAGTCCATCGGTTAAGATAAAATAAGGTTTATTTAGGTTAAATATTGGTATCCTTGAGAAATCTGTTATAATTTTTAGAATGGTTGCATTAAACAAATTTATCAGCACAGTGATGACAATTAAGATTTAACTCAGGATAACCCAAAAACAAAAATGATTCCATTTAGGTCTACCAACACTGCTGATCCGTTCCACACAGCAGATCCAGCTACATTCCTCAGACAGCCATACCTCAAAAACCACAAAATTTCTAATCTACTAGTCCTCCATATTTTCCAGATGACAGTGCTAAAGATGCTTCTTTAGACGCGAGAAGACCTGTAGACGTCTGCACAAGCTTGAACCTTGGATGGGAGTTTCCCTTCCCGCATTCAAGTACATGACTTCCTGAACTGATAACTCTTAATGTGTTTAAACTGTGGATGAAAACAAGAAATACTGCCATCACCACATCTTTCACTCCATGGGAGAACATCAACCAGCTTAACCAAACCTAGTTAGCTGGAGATAAACAAATTAAAACCAACACAATTCACATCACCTGCTATGATGCCTTTCAGTCCGATATTGCCCCCTCCAGCTGGTGCAGCTGCACCCGTCTGTGACATCCACGGTCTTAAAAACGGCGACCTAAATGCAGGAGAGGGACAATCCATGGTGGAGAGTGAGTGTGTTGCCTCCTCAACGTCAACCACAACACAACCAGCTGGTCATCACAGCTGATCAAGCTGCCATCATCCTCTCCTCACAACCAGCTTCTCGTACACACGTTAAAAAATTTTTACAGTACTAATGTATTTTCTTAAATTATCCTATTTTTTACACATCTAGCTGTTCAATAGAAAATCTATATTGGCAGACATAGTGAAGAAATCTTCTCTCTAGCAAATAACATGCTAAGATTTCTAATATAAAATCTAGCGAAAGCTGGCATAACTATGTACAGTGTTATGTAACTTAGTTTTCTCTGTAGGTTCATAGAGTATATACACAGGGAAGTGTATATCACTCAGTGTATATACATTGGGAGTTTACTTTAATCCCAGTTTAAGGAATCAATATATTCTTGATGATAATGTTCGTGCACGTTAATTGTGGCTTGGGTAACGTCACGTACAATCGATAACTCTTCAACGTAACAAACAAATTTTAAAAGTTGGGTTTGTGTCAGTAACATATTATCAATACGGTATCTATTATTACACTATGACATTTTTAAAAAGTTCATAAGAGAGCTATTAATATAATTTTAGCAGCCTCGTACGCCTGGCAGGATCAATATACATTAATCTCATGAAGGCCAAATGGTTTTTATTTTATTGTGCAGACAGCTTTTTTATATATTTCATTGTTGGAATGGCAGTAAAAAGCTGCAAAGCAACATATGATATAAGAATACCTTGCGAAGATATGATACTGATGAAGTATAAAGACATTTCTAAAAAAAAAAAAAACTATTGATATGGTTTTTCTCTTGTATTGAATATTTTCTTAGACTCGATTTCTCAAAAAAAAATCTTAAAACACATTAGACACTGAAATGGCTGTCTGTTCTATGAACACCATCGGTTTTTTTTTGGACTGATTCGATTTCTTATAACCAATTTTTGAACACTCTGGACACTTGGTATAGTTCCACTCTTGAACTCTCTTGTAGTTTTTATATTTGATTATTAAGAAAACTTTTTTGGACACTCAAAGCTCTGATAAGGTTTCACTCCTATTTAAACTCTAATGAGTTTCTTTAGGCTTGATTTCTCATAAAATTTCTTAGACTGGTCACCAATATGGTTTCTCTCCCGTATGAACTCCTGTATTTTGATAGGTTCAATTTATTTATAACTTCACCAGCATAATTTCTTTAATTAAAACTTCGCCGCCCTGCTTGCCGGCTCTTTCTTCTATGATGTTACAAGTAGCAATTAAGGATGCTTCATTACAATGGTGCCTATCAATGTATTGAATCATGCATAGTTGTTTTTTGCAGCACCATAAAACAAAGACTATGTGTACATGTGTGTTCTCTCGTTCTCTTGTATCATTTGGAGTGACTAAATATATACATTCTTCTTCTTTCAACGCACCGGCTGTATCCCACCGAGGCAGGGTGGCCCAAAAAGAAAAACAAGTTTCCCTTTCAACTTTAGTAATGTATACAGGTGAAGGCGTTACTAACCCCTTGCTCGCAGCATTTTAGTGGCCTCTTACGACACGCATGTCTTGTGGAGGAAGAATTCGGTTCCACCTTTACTTTGGTGGGAGACGGCCAATGTGTTACTAAAAATAAATAACTATATATATATATATATTATATATATATATATATATATATATATATATATATATATATATATAATATATATATATATATATATATATTATATATTATATATATGTGTGTGTACTAATGTGTGTGTGTGTGTGTGTGTGTGTGTGTGTGTGTGTGTGTGTGTTGTGTGTGTTGTGTGTGTGTGTGTGTGTGTGTGTGTGTGTGTGTGTGTGTGTGTGTGTGTGTGTGTGTGTGTGTGTGTGTGTGTGTTGTCTGTCTGTCTGTTGTGTCTGTGTGTGTGTATGTATGTATGCATGTATAATACACATACTCAGTGACCACTATATTAGGTACACCCATCTAATACTCGATTGCTCTCCCTCTCTCATGCCCCCCAGAACACCCCGAATTCTTCGTGGCATAGGTTCAACAAGGTCCTGGAAACATTCCTTTAAAAATTCTGGTCCATGTTGATGGTAGTCTGGTGGCTAAAGCTCCCGCTTCACACACGGAGGGCCCGGGTTCGATTCCCGGCGGGAGGAAACATTCCGACACGTTTCCTTACACCTATTGTCCTGTTCACCTAGCAGCAAATAGGTACCTGGGTGTTAGTCGACTGGTGTGGGTCGCATCCTGGGGGACAAGATTGAGGACCCCAATGGAAATAAGTTAGACAGTCCTCGATGACACACTGACTTTCTTGGGTTATGCTGGGTGGCTAACCCTCCGGGGTTAAAAATCCAAACGAAATCTTATCTTATCTAACTCACACACTGAGGTCCGTGGTTCGATCCTCGATACGGGTAGAAACAACTAGGACGTGTTTCCGTGAGACACCTGGTGTCCATGTTCACTTATTAGTAAAATGGGTACCTAAGTGTCAGTCGACTGATGTGGGTTGCATCCTGGGATGCAGTTGACCTAATTTGCCCAAAATGGTCTGCATAACAAGGGGCTTTCTGTACAGTAGTACAGTATGCCATTGATGTCAGCTATGCCTGTATTTCATGTACATACACTTATGGAAATAAAGACTATTATTATTAGAATTACACAGTTACTGCAGATTTTTCGGCTGCAAATTCATGCTGAAAATCTCTTGTTCCATCACACCTGAAAAGTTATGACAATAACAAAAAAAAATGAACAATACCGTGACTGGAACGATACACAAATAACCCGCACATATAAAAGAGAAGCTTACGACGACGTTTCGGTCCGACTTGGACCATTGACAAAGTCACACTAACCGAATCGAAGCGAATCGAGGACGACGAGATCTGTCGTAAGATGGGAAGGAAGAAGGATATGGAAGGATGGAAATAACTGGAAAAGGTTGGGAAGGAGGGGAAGAGGAGGAATCAAGGCAAGTGGCTCAACAACTTTGGGACATGTGGTACAAAAGTACTGGAGACGTAGATAGAGAGGCTTGACTGATGTCATTGCTTGGCTCACTAGGAGAGGATGGCGAAGGCAGCGGTAGGAGCTGGGAGTGTCAGAAGGCAGCAAGCAGGATGAGTTGGTTATGGTCTCAAACCGTTTATCAGTGCGGTAAATTGTTTTCGGGAGAGTTGTATCACTTATGGGAGAGCTGTAGTAGTATTCGTTGGTTTGGAGTTGGTGGAGTATCTGGTTGTAGATAGGGAATGGTCTTTCTTCGCTTAGGTACGATACAGTGTTGTCTTGGAGATGTTGGATGAATTCTAGGTGAGTCATGCTTGCAGGGTACAGCCTCGTAGTGTAGAATATGAGTCCTTTGTGTTTAACCCATGGTGTTCCAGGTAATCGACGTGAGCTAAGTAGAGAAGGCGGTGGTGGAGTAGAGGAAGGTGGTGTTGCTTCGTTTACAACTTCAGTAGACGAATTAGAAGATGTTTCTGGTGGTAAGGCTTCTGATTGGTTGGATTCAGTGAGAGGTGGTGGCGGTGGAGGCTTCTCATTGGTCGTTGTTAGATTGACGTCACTAGTTGGTGGTGTTGATGGAACTTCTGCAGAAGAGTTGGCGATTAAGTTTTTGGTGAATTTGAGAATTTCTTCAGAAGGTGGAGATGCTGGAAATGTAAATGAAGGCATGTTATTTAATGCAAATAACTCGTTGATGGTAGAGTTAAATGATCCAGGTACAGCCATGTTTTGCATATGAGCGTATAGTAGACAGTAGTGAATCTTCGTTACGTCACATGTTGGAGGAGTGATGGTAGTGGTGGTGGTGGAGGCGGGCTGAGTAGATGCTTGAAGTAATTTTGTAGTGTCTGCTTGTATTTTTGCAATTGCTGCATACGTTGGAGTGTTGCTAATAGGTTTTTTCTTTGCTGCATCTTGTGTTTTCTTCATAATATCCTTTCTTGTAGGACATTTTGCTGCCAGTGTATGGTGATCATTACTCTTGCAGTTTAAGCACGCTGGTTGTGTTGGAGCAGCAGCGGTGCAGGAACTGAAGGCGTCCCTCACTACCACATGTAGTGCAGAACTTCTTGTCTTTTACTGGACATGCTTTGGTGGTCTGATGGTATGAATAACAGTTCCAGCAATGTTGGATGTAGTGATATCTCTCTGCTTCAATGTAGGTAGGGCTGATGTAGTAGTAGTAGACAGCAAGACCTTCGTTCAGTGCAGTGGCAGCCATGTTCACGTCTGTGAAGGTGACCTTGATCATGGACGTTGCATTTGGGATTTTTGTAATGCTGTCAACAGTAGCCCAAGTATTTTGCGTCTCGATGGATGACCTGAGTTCAGCAGGTGTTTGAGACGTCAGAATCTTGTCCAGTTTTTTTAGGAATACTGATTTCCTCGCCCTGAGGGCAGGAGATGACGTAACAGTAAACCCTTGAGTAGTAAGAGTAGTGATGGCTTCTGTAGTGAGTAGCTTCTCTGCTTCAGCATCATCGTGACACACAACAATGAATGCTTCTTTCAGTGACAATATGGTGTTGAATTTTACTTCCAGTGCTCCCTGAACAACAGTTGCAAGAGCAATCTTCGTTGAATCATCAACGGTACCATTTCTTGGTTTGATCTTTACACGATTTGCGTAGCTCATCGTGTAAGTCAAGGCGATGACAACGCTGGTAAAGGTTCCCCTCCCCAACGGGGATCGTAGGGAGACAGAGTAAGTAAGGAGAGCTGCTATGACCTGCCTGGGCGAGAGTCAAGAGCAGAATGTTTATTTGACACTAACCAGAAGTGGAGCATATATAGGCAGGAAGAGGTGGTGGCAGAACACAAAGAGAGGTCGACAGGATTACCGCCTGGGAATTATTATGGCGCATCAAAACCAACCCAAATAAGTAAAAAATCACTTACTTCCATAGAATGCGTGATGTCCCCACTCCTGTCGAACTCAAAACAAGCACCTCCCGTACCCCCATCCCACGCTCCTTCTCGACAGTTGTCCTTGGTGTTACCCTCGACAACACACTGAACCTAAAATCTCACATTACTGCAAAGACCACACAGGCGGGAATTGCACTCTCAAGGTTATATAAGCTGAGAGGAGCCAGTCCCAAGACAAAACTACATCTCTACAAAGCACTCATTCGTCCTCTACTCTCTTACTCTCCACTCGCTCTGACGTTAACCGCCAAGACAAACGCACTAAAATTTCAACGTATCCAGAATCGTGCATTACGTTGGGTGTTGGGAGTGAGGTGGGACGAATTTGCCACCAGTGAATCTCTCCACCTCACGACAAACACACCAGCTTTGAACGTATACTGGAAGACACTCAGTGACAAACAACTTGACAGACTTGAAGCATATCATGACTACTGGACTACATACTTAGCAGATACTCTCAGACGTCCTTACAATGATGTAAATCTTTTTCAATGGTTGTATGATCCGGCACCTCCACCACAATACAAATAAATTATCTGACTTTTGCTTAACAATTCAAATAACTTAAAAGTGCCATTGCCGTAGAGCTGTCTTTGTGCGTTTTTCCGGCTGAAGTGCTTGCGATGTGCGTTTGCGTCGCCTTTGCAGTAACATGTCCCTGAACCGTATCCAGTCATTGCAAGTTGATATGCTTCCAGTAAGTTGCAGTCAGCACCCGCAGAGTCCCTGTTGTCTTTTATGTCGTCTTCGTTATTGTTTATCCAGGCTTAGCAGTTGGGTCTAGTCCTGACTCTTCTCTCTTCGACTCAAGACATTCCTCTCACCGTCTATTCTTCGCACTGTCCCCACTTGCCCCTCGCCCCTCGTGGGTCCTTACCTGTGAGTCCTTGATCGTGATCTGGTTAGTGTGACTTTGTCAATGGTCCAAGTCGGACCGAAACGTCGTTGTAAGCTTCTCTCATTTATGTGCGGGTTATTTGTGTAAAGTTATGACAAATTCTGACCCTACCATCAGCATGTCACAGCAGAAATTGAGATTCATCAGACCAGGCAATGTTTTTCCAGTATTCACCCATCAATAGTTTGGGTGAGCCCCTGCCCATTGTAGCCTCAGTTAACTGTTCTTTAGAACCTGGTGTGGTGTGCTGCTGTAGCCCATTCACTACAAGGTTTGATGTGTTGTGCATTCAGAGATGCTTTTCTGCATACTACTTCTAATGCATGGTTGAGTTTCTGTCACCTTCCTGTCAGCTTGCACCAGTCTGGCCATTATCCTCAGACCTCTCTCATATCAAGGAGTTTTCGCCACAGAATTGTCACTCGCTGGACATTTTGTTTTTCACCCCATTCGCTGTAAGCTCTTAGAATGGGTCTGAAAGTTCCAGATCAGCAGCTTCTGAGATACTTTAATCAACTTGTCTGTACCAACAATCATTTCAGTCACTTACATCACATTATTATTATTATAATCAAAACCAAGCACTAAACCCACAAGGGTCACACAGTACTGTTACATCAAATTTCATCCTTATTCTAATGTTTGGCCAGAACAACCACTGATCCTCTTGACCATATCTGCATTCTTTTAAGCACTGAGGTACTGCCACATGATTGGTTAATTGGATATTTGCATTAATAAACATGTGTGTACCTAATAGTGGCCACTGAGTGTGTATGTGTACACACACACAAACATACCCATACTTAAGTTATTGTAATTAAGCCAGACCAGAAGCCTTGAAGATGAACCCGAGTTCCTGTCTCACAAAGTGAGTTCCAGCTCCTGGACTTCTTAAGAATGATCAAATGTAGATCTCCAGCTTCTTAACTTTGCAGGAAGGTTGAATCCTAGATCCTTGGTATCTCTAGGCAGTAGAGCTGCAGCTGCTCAGCATCTTGAGGGCTGTGATGAACTGTTACAAGGATTCTAGCATGGCTTCAGGAACAGTTCAATCCCGGCCGGGGTATGGTTTGTTCATCATTGGGTTGAGGTATGGTTACTAGGCTTTGTACATGGGTTGAGGTACAGTTACTAGGCTTCATACATCATAGGTTGAGGTACATTTACTAGGCTTCAAGCATGGGTTGAGGCACAGTTATTAGGCTTCAACATGGGTTGAGGAACAGGGTGCTGGAGTAAAGGATGCAGGGATATATTCATCAAAACACACCAACCAAGCAGCAGCAGCATTAGTAGTTGCAATAGTAGCAATATTATTACTATTATTTCAGGTATCCCTGAAATGGGCATTATTTAGAGGTTACCTGAAATTTTTTCCTACCTTCAACTTTTCATCTTCATTTCACTCATAACACAAGGCCTAATCCGACTAGTCGGCTTCAAATTTTCAACACCAGTGTAGTTACTAGGGCAAGATTCTTGAATATTTGGCATGTGCAGTTTGGATTGATTTTGGCATGTCCAAATTCAAATTTGCCTTTATATGAATGATTTATTTGATAATGTAACCTCTAAGCAGATTCAAACTTATTGTACTGGTGTTATAATAATAATCATGGGGGAGTGCTAAACCCATAGGGATTATACAGTGCCTTGGGGGGGGGGGGTTATGTTAAGTATTCAGACTCAATTCAGGGAACTGGAACACAGATCAATTCCCTAGATCAAGAGCCACTCACCAGCATCAAGGAACCTCCCTTGAGGGGATTATACTGGTGTATTCTAGGATATTGGTCCCTATAATATAACAAGAATGTGCCACTTGACTTCACAACTGGTGTTTCTTAGTAGAACATTTTAATTTTGGGCTGTGTATATCCTAATCTGCCATTTTTATTGAAAATGTTGAGATAGTTTCCATGATATCTTGTCAAAGTTTCTTTTATAATGCTTCAAATCTTCAATACTGATATTTATCAAAACTGCATAACAAACATATGCCACACACTGCACTATTCTTATCATGTGCATTGAGGTACAATGGGTGGGGTATGCAATATGGGGATACCTTTCTTGGATTGAAGTACAGGTGGCTAGGATTATACAATATAAATTTTTTCATTAATCATGCCAAATGGAAAAGGGAGGAAAGATGCCCCTTCACTGCACAGAACAGTGGAGAAAAAAATTACTGATCTCCAGGAGTTACAGTACAGTTCTTGGCAAAAGAAATGACAAGCTTAAATTGTCTAATTGAAAGAGTAGCCTAGGCCAGGGCAAAATTAAAGCTAAATGGAGTGAGGGAGAGATACTAAGAGCAGACCATATTTCACATGTCCAGATATACAGGCTGTAGTGTAATGGAGTATGAACTTAAATTACAGAATAATGAATGTCATTGTGCACTAAAAGTGCACTTTTATTGAGTGTGGATATACATAGCCAGAGATCAAGTCTGAATGTGTTACATATGATAATTGTAAGCAAACACAAAGGGGAAAACTAGGTAATCCACACATGTTTTACCCACCAGTATATGCAATTCAAAATTATGTTTTACTGTTATAATAAAGGTGCCTTATCAGGTATAAAAAATAATATTATTAATTTAAAGATTTATTTTTACAGCATAAATAATACATTTCACTCAGATTTAGATATATATAGTACTGTACTTTCTCTAACTTCATTAATGTAGTTCACCCTGTAGTGCACACAAATAGCAAGTACAAGGTAACTATAAATTACACTATCTTATTGTGAAATATCTAGTGCACTTTTTAATTCAACACAGTGATATTATTACATTCTTTCACTTCCAGCGAATATTTAATACAAATTTCATGCTAAAATATTATTTAACTCTTCATATATAACACTTAGTTAAACACACATTGCTTTCAATGGTTACTTTCTTTACATCAAGAATAAGTGCACCCACCAGTGACAACATATTCTGTCAGAGGCTTAAGCAACACAATTCATTTTATGATACACGTCCACACAAAACTATATTGAACATTTATCTTCAGAACTAAACTTGTCATAATATTCTAGACTGTTATTATACAGGGTGTCCACAAAAACACTCCTTGATTTCAAACAGGTATAACATGTAACTTTATTGTAATACTCTTTCACAGTTAGTAGCTTCAGATGCAGGATTTCATTCGGTTTCATGTGGTATAAGGTAGCATTAAAGGCACTCAATATGCGCCCCTCTGGTTGCTCGGCAAACATTGATGCAATAGTCCAATTCCGTCCAGACGCTCTGCAGCATACCTGGAGTTATCATGCAAACTGCTTCAGTGATCGAAATTTTCAACTAATCCAGGGCTGCAGGTAATGGTGGTACGTAAACTGTGCTCTTCACGTACCCCCAAAGAAAGAAGTCACAAACAGTTAGGTCCGGTGACCTCGCAGGTCACATGCGGAGGTCACTGGACCTGTTTGTAACTTCTTTCTTTGGGGGTAATGAAGAGCACAGTTTACATACCACCACTATCTGCAACCCTGGATTAGTTGAAAATTTTGATGACTGAAGCAGTTCGCATGATAACTCCAGATATGCTGCAGAGCATGTGGACCGTACTGGACTATCGCATTGATGTTTGCCGAGCAACCAGAGGGGTGCACATTGAGTGCCTTTATTGCTACCCTATACCACATGCAACTGAATGAAATCTTGCATCTGAAGCTACTAACTGTGAAAGATTATTACAATAAAGTTACATGTTATACCTATTTGAAATCAGGGAGTGTTTTTGTGGGCACCCTGTACTGTTCACAATTGGAGTGCTAAACCTGTAGGGGGTCATACAGCACCTGGGAATGAGTCATGTGGAATGTACTCCTTAATTATACTTGACAGTCTGCAGGGTAATTTTTGTGGAAAATCTAGATCATTCCTCTAATATAGAGAAACATCATTATCTTCCAACATTTAAAACAAGAGCAAATCTCCAAGAGGCAAAAAGTAAAAAAATTTACATCCAAATATTTAAACTTGTGGCCACTAAAATTAAAGAACACTGAAAAAAAACAAAAAACTACAAATGAGTAAATTCATTATAAAAATACTGATACACTGATTATAATAAAATCTACCCAAATATCTATGGATATATACAATATTGTGCTGTTAGGAATGCACTCAGCTGGATTACTGGTACGTATTTATATGTTGGAAGACAATTTGTTGGGTTTTATAACTACAAATGTAGTTCCCTCAGCATATCTACTAACCTGGTCATGTCAATTGCAGTTATTTAACAGATGAACTTATTTTTTTTAAAGCTCTCAATTTAAATAATTAAAATTATTTATGGCAGTTGCTTCCCAGTGTAGCTATAAAGTTTAGCCTATTATTTCATTTTTTTGTGGAACAATTTTAAAATGCTTCTATAGGATATGGCCGGTTTGATGAAAAAAAAAAATTAAACATTCTTTGTGTCTGATATACTAGACTATAAGAATTCAATATTCCAGTCTTAAAAAAGTAATATTTAGTGGGATTCCTGAGCCATTTGTCTGTTTTTAACTGTGGGAAAATACTTTTCACCTTTGGAAATTAGGGAGTAAATACAGATTTTAATACACAACAGCAATGCTGGAATAGTAATTGTTACTGCATTAACACATTATTACACTATAAAGTGATGCACACTTCAGTGATTATTTACACCATTGACACCATTAATAGAATTAACACTATTGAACGCTGGCACCGCTTTGGCAGGTCCAGCAGCAGTTACTTTGGCGGGTGAAGCTGCAGTCGTCTTCTCAGAGAGAGGAAGAATTTCATCCAGAGAAGTTGCTGGGAATGGTTCATCATTTGCATAACCATCAGGGTTCATTGTCTGCCACCTCCAAAAGTCTTCACCTGAAATAATTTATGTACACATTTAAAACCAAATTCAGTGTAATATCCCTGTAAAGTGTAATGAGCACCAAAAATGATCATCTGTTAAAAAGTTCATATACGGAACAGCTTCTGAATACAATATCAGTGTGTTTTGGGTAAGTAGCCTCCAAACAACAATCTGTGGTGATATACATGTGACCCAAAATTTGACTAAATATTTTAACACGAGTATTGCCATTGTTGTTTTTTAACTTATGCATGATAATAGTGTCATTCTGTTGAATATTAAGAATATTAACATGGTAGTTATGTTCCTAAAAAAAATGATGCAAATAAAAAGTCATATAAAATGAAATGAAGTACATAAGAGGAAAAATAAAGTTACATTCCTTGGATAGCTCCACCTCCAAAATAAGACAAAATAAATTTTTTTAAGTTTTGTAATTTGTCAAGACTCAAAATTAATCAAGTTTTCTATTCATTACATTGTAGTTGTTGGCTGTTGGTACTGGAATGTATGAGGAGGGTTGATGTGACCCTGTACAAATACATGACAGGCAATTCCACAACTATCACCTAACTCCACCACAATAATCATATATAAACATCAGTAAAAATACCATATATTACAAGCCAAACGATTTTTTACTTTATAAGTTAATATGTCAGAATAAAACCCACCATAATATATGAGTACAGTGGAACCTTGGTTTTTATATGCCCTAGTTTGTTAATATTTTTGGATGTCTGGAATGGATTAATTGGATTTACATTATTTCTTATAGGAAATATTAACAAAAAATACATTTTATAGAAAATAACTATAGTTTTACATACAAACTAAGGCATATGAAAACTGAGGTTCCACCATATAAACCATGCCAAAAAAATGATCAAAATAACAAAGAAAACCTCAGGTTATTGCCATGTCCTATTGTTATTGTTGGGTTTAAAGGTTGCAATGGTCCAAAGGGGTCTGTCCATCTTACTGCTCTGAGACTGACTACCAGAATGCTTTTGTAAATACGTACATTATGTGTCATTTAATACATATTAATAATTTTATTTACATAAAAAAATAAAATATCAATTTCCTTCGTATTTTCAATAATAAAAATAAAGAGTAAGGAGTTGAGGATGTGGAAGGTAGAGATGGGAGATATCTGTTTATTTATCACAGAATACAGTGGACCCTCAGTTATCGGCTGTAATCCGTTCCAAATGGTCGGCCTAAAACCAAAATGGCCTAAAACTGAAATAATATTTCCCATAAGAATTAATGTAAATACAATTAATCCGTTTCAAACACCCAAAAATATTAGCAAAAAATACATTTTTAAAGATTAATTATAGTTTTACATACACAAAACAATGAGAACTAAATAAAATAAATAAATGAACATTTAAATCACTATTACATACCTTTATTGAAGACTCTTGTTGGCTTATGAAAGACAGGGAGGAAAGAGGGAGGACTGATTATTGTCTGGAAGGGTAATCCCCCTCCATAAGGAATTCAGGTATCAAAGCCCTCTCTGGGGTTACTTCCCTCCCTGCCTGCTACACCCTTGCATACCTGCTACACTCCCTGCCTGCCTGCTACACTCCCTGTTTCCCAGCTACACTCCCTGCCCCCCTGCTACACTCCCTGCCTCCCTTTCACAGCATATGTGTAAAGAACCTAGGACAACCCAAAAACGTAAGACAGAGTGACTTATTTCCATTGGGGGTCCTGCCTCCCTGTTACACTCTGTGCCTCCCTGCTAAACTCCCTTTCGCAACATTAGTTTCCTTGATTTCTACTTTCTTTGCCAGGATGGAAGTGATTGTTGATTTGGATTTCCCATATATCCTAGCAGGTTCTAGCAGTCGAACACCACTCTCGTACTTTTCAACAACTTCTTTCTTAACCCTTTGAGGGTTTTCGTCGTACTAGTACGTCTTACGCATAGGGGTTTTTGACGTACTAGTACTCATAAATTCTAGCGGCCTCAAATCTAGTGGGAGAAAGCTGGTAGGCCTTCATATGAAAGAATGGGTCTATGTGGTCAGTGTGCACAGTCTAAAAAAAATCCTGCAGCACACAGTGCATAATGAGAAAAAAAAAACTTTGACCATTTTTTTTTAATAAATCAGCGACTTTGCAGTGTATTTTCGTATGGTTTTTATTGTTGTATTCTAGTTTTCTTGGTCTCATTTTATAGAATGGAAGACATATTACAGAAATTGAGATGATTTTGACTGGTTTTACAAAGAAAGGTGCCTTGAAATTGAGCTCAAAGTAGCAGAAATGTTCGATTTTTACCAAACTTCAAAAGTAAACAAATCGTGCCAAGCGTGCAATACACGTCAACTGGTGAGTCTAATATTCTTTCACAAGTGCACCAATAATATTTATACCATTTTTTACACTAATATAGTAGTCTGCATAACAGTAAATCTTATATTTTTTGTGAGAATAAAAATTCAAAGTGGAAAGCAAAAGAATATAAGAGGGGCCTTGAGACGTGACTAATAACTAGAGGAAATGTCATTTTAGTGCCAGGAATGTCTTTCTTGTTTATTCTGGACCCTATTCGGAAATTGGCATCTTTTGAAATTTGTGTGAAATTGGCAAAATTGCTAAATTCTGACCACTGTACTGGATAGTTGAATTTCATAAATGAGTGGTTTCTTGCACCCATTCGATAGAAAAAATGGAGTTCTAGCGAAATATTCATGTTTTTTGTCGACTAGTACAGTGAAATTGGCCGAAAATGGGGCTCAAAGTGGGAAAAATCGCCGATGCGTAAACATCGCCGAGACCGCTAACTTTGCGAGAGCATAATTCCGTAAGTTTTCTATCAAATTTCAAACTTTTGGTGTCTTTATGATCGGGAAAAGATTCTCTATCTTTTCATAAGAGAAAATAATTTTTTTTTTTTTTAAATTTGGCCGACCCTGAGAACGAGTTTCGGAGAAGGCCTGTCGACCCTCAAAGGGTTAAATTCCATTGTGTTTCTCACTTTCTTTACCAAAGGAACTTTACTAGGAACTTTCTTTGGGCCCATGGTTGCTTATTTCGCAGTTGCACTCAATCAATAACCACAAAAAACAATGGATTATAGCGAAATGTTTGGATGAATGAGCAGAAGTTTCCTCACTCACCCAGAGACACAGCCAGACTGACTCACGAATGCACGAGTGGCTGGCAGGTGGACGTGTCCAATACTGCTTCTAAGCAAAATAATGGCCAATAACCATAATAAAATTTCGGCCAAATAAATGGGTGATAACTGAGTTGGCTGATATCCGGAACAGCCGATAACCGAGGGTCCACTGTACACATTATATCCAGGGTCATTTTTAACCTTGATGATGCTGCTTAGAGGGATATCTAAACTGTCATATCTGTGTGCCTCTAGCAAGACAGTGATAGTGCAACTGATGGTGAAACTGTTTCTTTTTTGGGTCACCCTGCCTCGGTGGGAGACAGCCAGTGTATTAAAAAATAAAAAGTAATTATGCAAGTTTTTTAACACACCAAACGTCACCCACCGAGACGACCCGAAAAAAAAATTCACCATCATTCCCACTATCACTGTTGTGCTAGAGGTGCATACATATGACAGTTCAGATGTTCCCCCAAACAGCAAATATCCCCACTCCTCCTTTACAGTGCAGGAACTATACTTCCCACCTTCAAGACTGAAATCTGGCAATTAGTACAGTATTAAGTATTATTATTATTATTGTGTTATTATTATTATTTGATACAATGGAATGAAAGCAATATTAATAATAATGTGATAAAGGTTAAAGATAAAGCCAAGAAATTAAATTTAGGAGTGGGATTCAAGAATGAGATGGATACATGGTGTGATTCATAAGATTGCAGTAAATAGCTTTGACAGTAATGAAAAAAAAAGTTGTTTTAGCAAATTACATACAATTATATGATTGTATTAATAAGAGCAGGGTAATATTTTGTGAAGGGATTCAGGGAAACCGGTTAGCTGGACTTGAGTACACTGCCTGCACTTTAAAGGAGGAGTTTGGGATACTGACAGTTTGGAGGGATGTCTAAACTGTCGTATCTTAGCACCTCTGCAAAGACAGTGATTATGTATGAGTGAAGGTGAAAGCATTGAATAATGATGAAAGTTTTTTCCCTCTTTTTGAGTTTTTCTTTCTTTTTGGGTCACCCTGCCTCAGTGGGAGATGGGCCAACGTGTTAAAAAAAAAATTAATAAACCAACAAAGCTTGCATAAAGAATAAATTTTGAAACTGCTGAAAGCAACAACTCACGAAGACTCTTGACTGTCTTTGACAATGTTTATTGAAACTTCCAATACACCAACCACTCCTCTAGTAAATCCAGTTTGTTTTTAAAGTGACATAATCACTGTTTTGCAGAAGTGCCCAGATACAACAGTTTAGAAGCATATATAAAGATATATTACACTTTTTTTTTTTTTTTCAACAAGTCGGCCGTCTCCCACCGAGGCAGGGTGACCCAAAAAAGAAAGAAAATCCCCAAAAAGAAAATACTTTCATCATCATTCAACACTTTCACCACACTCACACATTATCACTGTTTTTGCAGAGGTGCTCAGAATACAACAGTTTAGAAGCATACACATATAAAGATACACAACATATCCCTCCAAACTGCCAATATATTACACATCCATCCAAAATGCCATACATTCTATAAAAATTTATATACATACTATACAATTTTAGTTATCCAATTGGACCTCTGAAATGGAACGCTTAAAGAAAATGTTAAATGTTATTACATTAACTATGTTCATAAAATTCATACTGTGTTATGGTCCAGACATACCCTTCACATACAATTTTTTATTTTAAAAAATCTCTATTCACATTTATGAATTGTAATATGTGGGCACTTCTGAATGATGATAAATGCCTTTTTTTTTTTTTTTTTTTGGGGGGGGGGTTGTGGGGGTAGGGCCAGTGTTTAAAAAAAAAAATTAAAAATTTCCAATTCTTTCATTATTTTCAAAATCTAATATAACATTGACCATAAATAAAAAAATAAATTCTCTTTTAGTCCTTTTCCAAGTAAATCATATCAAATTATAACCAACATGCTATTTCCTGACATTTAGGGTATGAGAGTCGACAAAACCTTGCAAACCCTTGAAACCTGTGTACTGTATCAGTACAAACACAAACTAGAAGTAATAGAGATACTAAAAGCTTCTGCATGCTGACTGTTACCAGACTGAAGCCGTTACCATAAGTCACTGCACGAGGTAGTATTTTTTTTGAAATGTGAAAGCCATTAACATATGCCCCAAAAGTGAAGCAATCCTTAACATGCCCCATAATGTGAAGTCATAACATGCCCCATAAAGTCCAGCAAGCCTTAACATGCCCCTTAATGTGAAGTCATAACATACCCCATAAAGTGCAGCAAGCCTTAACATGCCCCATAAACTGAAGTCATAACAATCCCCATAAAGTGAAACAAGCCTTAACATGCTCTATAATGTGAAGTACATATAACAATCCCCATAAAGTGAAGTCATAACATGCCCCATAAGATGAAGCCATAACAGTTCCCATAAAGTGAAGCAAGCCTTAAGTTACAATGTGAGCAAGTTTTTATTCTCTCTCAAAATGTTAGCAAGCCTTAAGGTAGTACAACAAAAGAAAATAGCAGTAAAAAAAGGTGTTGGTGAGCATAAAGCTGCATATTTGTGATTATGTGTGAGTGAGATGAAAGTGTTGAATGATGATGAAAGTATTTTCTCTTTGGGGATTTTCTTTCTTTTTGGGTCACCCTGCCTCGGTGGGAGACGGCCAACTTGTTGAGAAAAAAAAAAATACAAGCCACTCTGAAAAAAATTATTTATTTATTTATTATTATGATTATTATCATCATCATTACAGTACATCCGAAAGCAAGCACTAAACCATATGGATCATACAGCACAGCACTGGACTGTAGTCTAAGTGTATAGGTGAGTGGAGGTGAGGGTTAGTGAGTGAAAATTAATGTATTAGTGGAAAACATTAGTTTCTTTTAAAAATCACACAGAGTGTCTTCATTAAAGGTGAGACTTCAATGAGAAGGGCAGTAGAGTAAGCATATCAGGGCACTGAAGATATCGAAAGTGAATTCTGTGTGTTCTCCAATAAACAGGTAGAACAATCAGTTAATAGGTAGTGACTTGTTAGAGTTACCTGGTGGCCCTCACAGAAAGATGCCAGGCACCTCTGCATGTGGTACCAGTACATCCATTTATGGAGTCTGCCTCCACTGCTTTCTGTTCTACCTTTGTAAGGAATGAACTTCAATATGAACAAGTGCAAGATAATGCATTTTGGATACAATAATATAAAATGTGAGTACAGTACAGTACTGTATAATTTATTGGCAAGCCCTCTTACAGAGACGAAGAAAGGGAGGCAAACTTGGAATCATGATAAGCAGTAATTTTAAATATATGTACTGAGAAATCTTTTGCTGCTAGAAAGGAAACCAACAGGGAGCTTGACTTCATAATAAGAAACTTCAATTACAAAACTTGTGATACAATATTAACCCCCACCAATGCTCTCATCAGACCACATCTTAACTATGCTGTCCAGGTCTAGTCCCCTAATTACATAAAAGGTATAGAGTTACAAGAATAACAAAATTCATATCACTGAGAAACAAACTATACAAAGAGAGACAAATTACATAATCTGTTCTCTCAGAAAATGGAGGCCCAAATATGAACTTTCAAGACATTACACAAGTTCAATATGCTCAAGCACTAGGATCATTTTGAAGCATGGCACGATATAATTACACTGCTCGAAACAATGGTATGAAACTCTGCGGTAATGAGGCTTAATATGAATGTGGATAAGAGCTTCTTTTCAAACAGTTTTAAAACACTGGGATAATCTACTCACAAAGTTCTTTCTTTCAACACACCGGCCGTATCCCACTGAGGCGGGGTGGCCCAAAAGGAAAAACGAAAGTTTCTCCTTTTACATTTAGTAATATATACAGGAGAAGGGGTTACTAGCCCCTTGCTCCTGGCATTTTAGTCGCCTCTTACAACACGCATGGCTTACGGAGGAAGAATTCTGTTCCACTTCCCCATGGAGGTAAGAGGAAATAAACAAGAACAAGAACTAGTAAGAAAATAGAAGAATAACCAGAGGGGTGTGTATATATGTGCTTGTACATGTATGTGTAGTGTGACCTAAGTGTAAGTAGAAATAGCAAGATGTACCTGAAACCTTCCATGTTTATGAGACAGAAAAATGGACACCAGCAATCCTACCATCATGTAAAACAATTACAGGCTCTCCTTTTACACTCACTTGGCAGGACAGTAGTACCTCCTTGGGCAGTTGCTGTCTACCAACCTACTACCTAGACTCACAAAGTTATGGGAATCAAATTAATCCACCATTTCAAGAACAGGCTGGACATACACTTTGCAACTAGGATTCTAGCAGCCAAAGTCCTCTCCATGCAGTAGCCACTGGTATTCCAGTATTTACTCAAAATTCACTCTAAGATATCCAGCCGTTCACATCTAACTGTAATGCAGTATCTAGAAGTAGAACTAGTAGTATCTAGAAATAAAAATGCAAGTAGTACTAAGCGGTACAGGTAGTATATAGCCCAAGCCTTCCATCCATTCCTATCTCTTCTATAAATTCCATGCCATTTTTCCAAAACTGTATGGTATGCCTTTCTCTCATTTCATGATACTAGTGACTGGAGGGAGAGAGGGCGAGGGAGAGATCCTTCTGCCTTACTATCTTTGCCTTAACCATCAAGGAAACAGTTGATAGTCCCTAACCAAGACAGAAGTGGATAGTACTTCTCAGTAGATAGCCTCAGTATTGACTTTATGTCTTCTGCTATCTGCCTAGCCCATGTATTTCAATGTACCACACTTAGGCATTTAGCATCCATTAATGTACTCTCATTCTGCTCCCTCTTACACGCTTGTTTTCGTTCACTGTCAATACACCCAAGTATCTAGAACAATGTGATCATTAATCCCCAAACTCTCTCCCTTCTAATGATGAGAAATTCAGTTCCTCTGTCAATGTAACTCTTGCCTTTCTGTGCTGGGGTCACTTAGTTGGCAAATCTCTGAGCTGTTTCAAGCATCTTTATGCAATAATCACCTATTAGCAGCTGCTTCTATGAGTTTGCAGGGACCCACCTTTTAACTTTGGACTGTGACCAACTTCAAAAGCTTGTCATGTGAACATTTTAATGCCTATATGGAGTTAACTTCATTGTTCAGTTCATTCTACAATATCTTGTAAGTTGAAGAAATGTTTTCAGATATCCCTGTGGCTTATGAGAGTTTCTCTTCAACCATGCTCACTATTTCATGTTTCGTCCTTGGTATGGAGCCCATATAGCACCTGGCAAATGTTGGCTTAAATACAGACAAAATACACACAAGCTCATTGATATAGCACTAGATATTATTTATACCTTTTTCAGAGACACTTCCAGATCTGTTTCCTCCTTAGATAATTTTAATATCTAATCTCTCAAGCTGCATTTTCCATAGCATCTATTTTTGCTCTTTCCCAGCTTTATTGCATAATTTATACCGAATTCCACATGCCAATTTTATCTGAGCTGAACATCTTACCAAAGTTTTCTAGCACTCCATGAAATTTTGCATAAACAAAAAATCATTTGCAGTTTCCACTTGACTGACCAACATTGCTGCAGGTAACATCACTCACCCAACTCTACACCTTACGTCTCTCCACTGTATATATGCTCTCTCCTTTTACCCATCCCCATGAGCATTGATAACATTATTTGTTGGTATATTCTACCATTAATATACAAGAATTATTCTTATAGTTTAAGACTTCCTTGGAAAAAATTTTTTAATACTGTACACCAGAAATGCAAAATGGACTAGCACAGACTACATGAATACTCAATTTACAGCTACTCTTTGTGACAAGAATGTCCCTCTTACTCTTCTCACTGATTTTTAATTAAAGATGTCTTTCAATCAGCTTGAAGGCTTGCCTGTTCTATCATTTTATTTAGTTTTTCATATTAATCTCCCTTGTTGCTACTGGTCAAATGTGTGAGTATGAATGTAAAAATCCATGTTGCTGTAACCAATCACATGAATAGTGCTCAAGCCAAAGTTCAAATTAACTAGATGCATTTACTATTTTCATGAGGAAATCTACAGCTACATTACAGGAAATACCTCCACCATACAAAATCATGCTGAAATGAAAGTCCTGTACCATGATCCATAGGAATTCAGCCAAACTGAAGTAAAACTTAGTATGCACAAGATATATTAGCACTGGAGAGACCAATGACCAATTTGAGAAATCCACGAGTTATAATGAGAGGTGAAAGTGAGGAAGCATCTTTGGGTTTGCAATGAAGACTTACACATGTTTTCAAGTGAGTACTTGGCTGTCCAGCCCAATTCTTTCTTGGCAAGGGTTGTGTTGGCAAACATGGATACAATGTCTCCTTCTCGTCGAGGTTTCAGCTCGTAAGCCACTTTAGTATCAGTCACGGCCTCGAAAGCCTTCACTAGTTGCAACACAGAAACTCCCTGGCCTGTACCTAGGTTGTATGTCTGTGAAAAATTTCTTAGCATAAGTTTTTACATACAAGAAAAAAATAAAAGCCCCAGTGGTTGAAATAATCTGAAAGATAAGAAAAGATGAACCAGCAAATCCCTGTACTTACACATGACCTGAAAATCCCTTGTGGGCTTCCATTTCAGTTCTTTCATGCCCTGGGTCCCATCACACACCAGCGTAGCGACATCTCCAACTCTTCTGCCAGAATATTCATATGGGATGTGAACCTTCGACACACGCTCAAATTCCTTGATAAACTCCAGCACCGATAACCCATGACCTAAGCCCAGGTTCAGGGGCTAAAGAATAAAAATGTATCTGATTTCTTTTAATATAAATACTCTTCATTAATTTTATGAATAACAAATTGTGATACTGTATGATATCACAATGGAAGAAAAATCACGTCATTATTCATAGAAAACCTATTTATAAGTAGATTATTATACTACAGTACTATAGTTTTTCAAAGTTAACAACCAATTCTGTTGAAAATTTTCTTAAGAGAATGCTGCCAATGATGTGCAACAAAATGCTATCCCATTCTAAGCAGAGTTTATTACAGTATTTTTCTACCAAAAGTCATTTTCTAAAGTTGAAAATCTCCACCACCTCTAAAATTAAACCTGAAAAAAAAAAAAAAACTTTTAGCCCAGTTCCCAATATTACTGGAAAATACCTATATACTATACTGTATATAAATGTATCTATTTCCCAAGGAAAGAAGAAACCCTGTGACCTGGTGACTAAGGCTCTTGCTTCAAATGGCGAGGGTCCAGGTTTGATTCTCGGCGAGGGTAGAAACATTGGGCATATTTCCTTACACCAGTTGTCTATGTTCCCCATCAGTAAATTGGATACATGGGTGTTAGTCAACTGGTGTGGGTCGAATCCTGGGAAAAGCTGAACTAATTTGCCTGAAATGCTCTGCATAACAAATGGCTTTCTACATAGTATGTCATTGATGTCAGCCAGGCCTGTATACTTTCTACATGTACTTGTAGAAATAAAGATTTTTTTTTTTTCAACAAGTTGGCTGTCTCCCACCCAGGTAGGGTGACCCAAAAAGAAAGGAAATCCCCAAGGCAAAAATACTTTCATCATCATTCAACACTTTCACCTCACTCATACATAATTACAAAAACTATTCGTCTCCATTCACTCCTATCTAACACACTCATGCACGCTTGCTGGAAGTCCAAGCCCCTTGCCCACAAAACCTCCTTTACCCCCTCCCAGCCTTTTCGAGGATGACCCCTACCCCTCCTTCCTTCCCCTACAGATTTATACACTATCCATGCCATTCTACTTTGATCCATTCTCTCTAAATGACCAAACCACCTTAACAACCCCTCTTCAACCCTCTGACTAATACAGTGGTCCCCCGGTATTCGATGGCATTATCCGTTAAATCCGGTATTCGATACATTTTAACGCAAAAATTTTGCCTTGCCACTCGTTAAAAAACCCGCCACACGCGATTCGTCCGAGATGTGTCCACATGTGGCCTGAACTGCCCCGTGTGTGCCAGTGTTTACAAGCCAGCTACCGCAGTCGCATCCAAACATACAATCAGAACATTTCATATTATCACAGCGTTTTTCGTGCTTGTTTCTGCAAAATAAGTCACCATGGGCCCCAAGAAAGCTTCTAGTGCGAACTCTGTGGTAAAAAGGGTGAGAATTAGTATGGAAATTAAGAAAGATTTTGAAGGGTTTGGGGCTAACCCTGAGAAGCCTATGCCAGTTGTGGAATCCAATGTGCCTACTTCAAAAATTAAGGAAATGTGTGCACAGTGGGTTGAACTGCAAACCTTTATGGATGAAAATCACCCTAACACAGCTATTGCAAGCCGTGCTTGTGACTATTACAATGACAATGTTGCGGCCCATTTTAGACAAATCGTAAAGGAACGGGAGGTACAGAGCTCTATGGACAGATTTGTTGTGCGACAGAGGTCCAGTGACTCTCAAGCTGGTCCTAGTGGCATTAAAAGAAGGAAAGTAACCCTGGAAAAGGACTTGCAACCTCAAGTCCTAATGGAAGGGGATTCCCCTTCTAAACAATAAGTTCGACACTCTCCCCTCCTCCCATCCCATCAATCATCACCAGATCTTCATTAAAGGTAAGTGTCATGTATTCTATTGTTAGTAGAGTACTACAAACTGTGCATGTCTTCTTCAGTTTGTGTGCATTAAACTTAATATTTCATGTGGTAAATTTTATTTTTTTCATACTTTTGGGTGTCTTGCATGGATTAATTTGATTTCCATTATTTCTTATGGGGAAAATTAATTTGCCTTTCGATAATTTTGGCATACGATGAGCTCTCAGGAGCGGATTAATATCAAATACCGGGGGTCCACTGTACTTTTATTAACTCCACGCCTCCTAATTTCCACACTCCGAATTCTGGAGTTTACCTGGATAATATTTACACCACACATTGCCCTCAGACAGGACATATCCAACCGCCTCCTCACTGTAGCATTTACAACCCAAGCTTCACACCCATATAAGAGTGTTGGTACCACTATACTTTCATACATTCCCTTCTTTGCCTCTATTGATAACGTTTTTTGTCTCCACATATACCTCAATGCGCCACTCACCTTTTTTCCCTCATCAATTCCACGGTTAACCTCATTCTTCATAAACCCATCCACTGACACATCAACTCCCATATATCTGAAAACATTCACTTCTTCCATACTCCTCTCCAATGTGATATCCAATTTTTCTTTATCTAAATCATTTGATACCCTCATCACCTTACTCTTATCTATGTTCACTTTTCAACTTTCTACCTTTACACACCCTAAAGATATTATATTACATATATTATTATTATTATTATTCATAATATTCTGCTCAGGCTTGATGTTCTGTACCATAATTCATAATAAGACTTGTGCAAAAATTATTGAAAATAAAATTAAACTATATTAATAGCATCCATATTTTTTTAACTTCCACAAAGAATGAGAGACAACCCCTTTAGCCATTACAGTAACCATTCCTTTAAATATAAATTTCTCAAAATGAATTTACCCTTTGATTTTGTGAACACTAAACCCAAGCTGTTTTTCAAAAAACGAAACCTTTTAGTATTATACACCTCGAAAAGGTTGGAAGGAAGGGGTAAGGGAGGTTTTGTGGGTGAGGGGCTTGGACTTCCAGCAGGCGTGCATGAGCATGTTCGATAGGAGTGGAGACGAATGGTATTTGGGATCTGACGAGCTGTTGGAGTGTGAGCAGGGTAATATTTAGTGAAGAGATTCAGGGAAACCGGTTATTTTTATATAGCCGGACTTGAGTCCTGGAAATGGGAAGTACAATGCCTGCACTCTAAAGGAGGGGTTCGGGATATTGGCAGTTTGGAGGGATATGTTGTGTATCTTTATACGTATATGCTTCTAAACTGTTGTATTCTGGGCACCTCTGCAAAAACAGTGATTATGTGTGAGTGAGGTGAAAGTGTTGAATGATGATGAAAGTATTTTCTTTTTGGGGATTTTCTTTCTTTTTGGGTCACCCTGCCTCGGTGGGAGATGGCCAACTTGTTAAAAAAAAAAAAATATTGTACAAAGTGTACATGTCTGTATATAGTGGGTGAAGGCAAAATGTACATTATAATCTACTGCTGGGTTTGTTTTCTCCAATTCCCATTACGGCCAAGTCTCAGAGGCCATTCATTACCTGTTTTTGTAATAACTGGACAGACACCTAAGGTCAATATCTGACCAGCTGGGATGTGGTTTGTACATTGGTCTGCATGTGGCCAGCAGTAACAGCCTGGTTGATCAGGCCCTGATCCACCACAAGGCCTGGTCATGGACTGGGCCGTGGGGGCACTGACTCTCAGAATGCCCTCCAGGTATGCTAAGATGACTATGGCATTGCTTGTACAAAATCCTAAACAGGCTTAGCACCAATATTTCTACTGTAAGAATGTGATAAGCATTCACAGATAACTGCATCATTCTAGAGGGGTACATGTTTATAGCAACATCATGGTCCAAGATGGAGGAAAATGTTGTTTAAGGTTCCTTTTCTAAATTGTGGGTTAGTTTTGAATTCTTCAGCCATGGTACTGTGACTTTTATTCTTCATTATTTGTTTTGCTATAGCAAGTTGTAGTGTATTAACACCAAAAAGTATGCAAGTATGACAAAAGCATTATTAGGATAATCATTAAGGAGACATTTCACCTATCAGGGACTTTTTTAATTCAATACAAAAAAGGAGTAGATACTGTAAGTACAAGGTCAGGTAGAGAAGTGAATGGCAAGAAATACAGCAGAAAACATACAGAGAAGGATGACAATGCTGATCTTATGCATCAAAAATCTTCCTACAAGGATAGACTAAGGGCACTGAATCTTCACTCTCTGGAAAGGTATAGAATTAAGGGGGATGTGAATGGAAAACAGGAATGTATAAATGGAAAACAAGAATAAATAAAGGGAATACAAAAATACATAACCAAGATAGGACTCACAGCAATGAGTTTAAGTTGGAAAAAATTTAGATTTAGAAAAGATATAGGAAACAGTGAATTTAAAGTGCTAGTAAGTCAAAACAAGACTGCAATTTCCGAATTTCCTTGGTATTTCATTTATCCATGACCAACTAATTTCACTTTTCTCAACATCAATTGTAAATGTGAACATAAGATTACTCAAGAGATTTTAATGTTATGTATTCTCAATCTTATAACTCAAACATCAGACTATTCATTTGTAACGTTTACTAAATCAATGTATTCCTCAACATGACCAACAAAGGCTGAAACAGACCCTCTGCCCTTCTTAAAAAACTGTCTTAGATTATCGCCTACAGCTCTATCTGTGCGAGGTTACAAGTAGTTCTATTAACCCTAATAAGCAATAATCCTTCAACCCTCTTGTCTGTCTCTTACAGTCCAAAACATTTTAAACAATGCATTATCCAGCTATGGTAAATGTTTTATGAGCTCCGGTAGTAAATAGGCAAATTTAAAACACAGAAAACAGTAATATTTAGCAACAATACTTACTTTAAATCTAAGATGCTCTTCATCCAGCTTTGAGAGAGCAGACACATGACCTGAGGCTAAGTCCATCACATGGATGTAATCACGAACACCTGCATCAGAGAATCATTAGTGGCTGCTTTCTCATAGTGAAGTATTGTCAAGATTGGAAAGGCAGGTGAACAAAAGTTACTAGAAAGTTTTATGGCTAAGATTTTTTTTTTTCAACAAGTCGGCCGTCTCCCACCGAGGCAGGGTGACCCAAAAAAGAAAAAATCCCCAAAAAGAAAATACTTTCATCATCATTCAACACTTTCACCACACTCGCACATTATCACTGTTTTTGCAGAGGTGCTCAGAATACAACAGTTTAGAAGCATACACATATAAAGATACACAACATATCCCTCCAAACTGCCAATATCCCAAACCCCTCCTTTAAAGTGCAGGCATTGTACTTCCCATTTCCAGGACTCAAGTCCGACTATATGAAAATAACCGGTTTCCCTGAATCCCTTCACTAAATATTACCCTGTTCACACTCCAACAGATCATCAGGTCCCAAGTACCATTCGTCTCTATTCACTCCTATCTAACATGCTCACGCACGCTTGGCTAAGATACTTTGCATAAAAAAGAGCAACCATATTCATTTTTTAAGATGCTCCAAACTCTTCAGAAATCAAATCCTGAGATATGCCTAGATTCTCCTCAAACAATTCCATTACCTCTATTCTGATTCATTTTCTAAGTCAGCCTAAAATACACAAGAAACATCACATACAGTGAGCAAGACAACATCTATATTCAAGGTAAATACTGTACTATACTGTTTAACATGTTTTTTTTATTATTATTTTTTTATTATTAACACACTGGCCGATTCCCACCAAGGCAGGGTGGCCCGAAAAAGAAAAACTTTCGCCATCATTCACTCCATCACTGTCTTGCCAGAAGGGTGCTTTACACTACAGTTTTTAAACTGCAACATTAACACCCCTCCTTCAGAGTGCAGGCACTGTACTTCCCATCTCCAGGACTCAAGTCCGGCCTGCCGGTTTCCCTGAATCCCTTCATAAATGTTACTTTGCTCACACTCCAACAGCACGTCAAGTATTAAAAACCATTTGTCTCCATTCACTCCTATCAAACACGCTCACGCATGCCTGCTGGAAGTCCAAGCCCCTCGCACACAAAACCTCCTTTACCCCCTCCCTCCAACCATTCCTAGGCCGACCCCTACCCCGCCTTCCTTCCACTACAGACTGATACACTCTTGAAGTCATTCTGTTTCGCTCCATTCTCTCTACATGTCCGAACCACCTCAACAACCCTTCCTCAGCCCTCTGGACAACAGTTTTGGTAATCCCACACCTCCTCCTAACTTCCAAACTACGAATTCTCTGCATTATATTCACACCACACATTGTCCTCAGACACGACATCTCCACTGCCTCCAGCCTTCTCCTCGCTGCAACATTCATCACCCATGCTTCACATCCATATAAGAGCATTGGTAAAACTATACTCTCATACATTCCCCTCTTTGCCTCCAAGGACAAAGTTCTTTGTCTCCACAGACTCCTAAGTGCACCGCTCACCCTTTTTCCCCTCATCAATTCTACGATTCACCTCATCTTTCATAGACCCATCCGCTGACACGTCCACTCCCAAATATCTGAATACATTCACCTCCTCCATACTCTCTCCCTCCAATCTGATATCCAATCTTTCATCACCTAATCTTTTTGTTATCATCATAACCTTACTCTTTCCTGTGTTCACTTTTAATTTTCTTCTTTTGCATACCCTACCAAATTCATCCACCAACCTCTGCAACTTCTCTTCAGAATCTCCCAAGAGCACAGTGTCATCAGCAAAGAGCAACTGTGACAACTCCCACTTTATGTGTATACACTATTAAACAATGTTTACTACTGTTGGTAAGTGACCAGGAATACTACTGAATGTAAAATAGTGTAAATATTCTCAGCAAGATAAAAATTAATGAAATCTGATGCAAAAAATTCTCAGAAAGGATCTCCCATTATGATAAGAGTGTCTATGGGAAATCAGTTTCCAAGTTTCAAACACGATTACAATTTTCAGTACTGTATAAACACCGAAAGTAGAGGACCTACTGTATCTTAGTTTTAATAGAATATTTTTGGAATACAATATAATTTTCATATTTTGCATAACTTTGGATGCATTCACTAAGACAATAGAGGCAAAAATAACACAGAAATTGTTAATACACACCGGTGCCATCTGGCGTGTCATAGTCACAACCAAAAATAGTTAAGCTTGGTTTCTTTCCAATAGCCACCTGACCAATGTATGGCATGAGGTTAGTGAAGTTCTTAGTGGGATCCTCACCCAACCGCCCAGATGGATGCGCCCCTACAGGGTTGAAATACCTTAGGGCAATGATGTTCCACTTCTGTTGATGGGTTTTGGTAAGAGTGATATTTGTTACATTTTATATATGCAAGTATTGCAACCTACACTTCTGATGAATGCCATGAAAAATGTGTGCAGAGCAAGTTAATCTGAAAACAATAACATATCTCCATTACTAACTTCTTCTGCATGCGACAGATCTTTCAACATTTCTTCTATGAGATACTTGGTCCGACCATATACATTCGTGACAGCACCAGTAGGATGGTCTTCAGTAATGGGTAAGTGCTCAGGATCACCATACACAGTACAGGAAGAGGAGAATACCATCTGATATACACTGTTTGCTTTCATTGCCTATGGAAAATATTACATGGGTTTTATAAACTTGAAATTTTCATCAGAGAAACTTACAAAAACTGCAGTATATAACAAATATATATATAGTACTGTATTTACAGTAGTTTAAGCACACCTAGTTATTAACTCGAACCGGATTAGAAACTGACAAAAATTATCTAAGTTCATACAGTATTAAGACTGCTGACTTTGTATTACATTTATCACAGGATAGAAGCAGAATGGACTACAAAGTACCATACTGTACTTCAAAATATGAAGTGTAGTCTTTTTCTTAAATCTCAATAAGTAATATAGATTTACCATGAGGAATGAAAATACACCTACCTTACCTAACACAAATTATATTGCATATAGAGAAAAAAAAATTATAATACGTTAAGATATAAAGCTAATGAACAGTAAACAAATATACTGTACTATTTACATTCAGTAGAAATAAGTATGGGAAAATGGTGCTCAAGGTGTAGCTACCAAACAGCATTTGCTTTAAGCATGTCATAAGCAACTAAAATATATTTATTAAGAGTAACATGTTAAGAGACTTCACAACAGTACTCTTAACAATGACTGTCAGCTTACTTCAATTAGGTTGATGGTCCCAATCACATTGTTCTTGTAATATATGAGAGGAAACTGCATGGATTCTCCAACAGCTTTCATGGCAGCAAAGTGAATAACATAATCAATCTTGTGCTGCAAATCACACAAAAAACTTTTCATGTATTTGTTGTGTCAAAAACTTAAATTACATCAAAGCAAAAGAGAGAGACTATAATTATACCAAAATAAGGCCAAAATCTTAAATTATAGTTCCTCAGAATGATAAATGTTCAATTTACAATATTTAAAAAATATTGACACCTACAATGTACCATAAATCAAGAATGAATGTATCTAATGGGAAGAGCTGCTCAGATCCCCAAAAAATCAATTTTTTTACTATCCTGGATAAGACGAAAAAAAAAAAGGTAAAAAAAAAAAAAAAAAAAAAAAAATTCTCTTACAGTGAAAACCTTTTTCCTTGTTTGATTCTCCTTCTGTGTTCTAAACAGTATATCAGACTTCATATCCCTTATCTCTATCTGATTGGTTGGCAAACATATACAGTACATTTTTTATTCATTCAAGAGGTGTAGAGATGTATACATGTGGGAGCGGAGCGGTTTAATATTCCCTTATATGCCATTCCTGTGTAGGCCTACTATGGTCTCTGTGTTGGACTCTCCCTAACACACTCCCAAATGTCTACTACCCCTCTTGCACTGCCATCCTCCTCTTCTTTTCCCTCATCCCTATACCCTTACCCCTCCCCTCTGTCTGTCTACCTCTCTCTCTCTCTTTCTCAAATGAACATCCATATATTCCTGAATCTACGTTTGTGTATCATTATCAGCCATCCAATCCTGTGCTCCAAAACTCCCTCCCACCAATTGATAATTATTCCCATGCAATACTTCAAAGAATTTTTATTTTAATGGCAAAAAACAATTTCAAATAATATACGCAGAGCTACTTGTACATGAGAAGTGGAAAATATAAAATTATTACTGAATTATTTAAAAAGTGGTTTGAATAATGACTTAAATTTTCCTTTTAATGAAATACATATTGAAAATAAAAAAATGCATTTTTTATTTTCAATGCATTTATTATGCAGAACATTTCAGGAAGCAAAATTCAGGAACTCAAATGTTAATATGTGTTAAGTTAGGAAATACCATAGTCTAATACAGTAATGACAGCTTATAATATAGATTACCTTGGCAAATATAGCATGTACAGCACGTCCATCAAGCAAGTCACACTCGTAGAACGTGACACTCTTGCCTGTGATCTCCTGTACCCTTCTGAGTGCCCCTGACCTGCTATTGGTCAAGTTATCTATGGTAATGACCTCATTAGCCCTCGTTAAGCAATATGTGGTCAAGATGCAATGTGACCCAATGTAGCCAGTACCACCTGTCACAAATACTGTCTTCAGTTTGCCATTCTTACTGCAAATATAATAAAATAATTATTTGTATGATTAGAAGATGGTCTGTAATTTAAGAAGGGGAGGGTCCTAGTTGTTTTGTTTAGTTGTTATTCGAAATTATGTGAACAGTTGTTAAACAGGAGTCTACCATACAAATCGTGACAAAAAATATAAAAATTTTAAATTAATTTTTATAACCAGTAATATACATTTTATTATTTATATATATATATATATATTTATATATATATAATATTATAAATATAGATTATATTATATGTATATATAATTTATTATATTATATATATAGATATATATATATATTTATTGATATATATTTTTTTTATTATCACAATGGGCCCGACTCCCACATAAAGGCAGGGAGGCCCGAAAAAGAAAAACTTTCACTTCATCACTCCTCACGGTCTGCAGAAGGGTGCTTACACTAAGTTTTTAAACTGCATAATTATCACCCTCACTATATACTATATATTATATAATTATTATATATATAATATATATATATATAATATATTATATATTTTATATTATATATATATATATATATATATATATATATAATCCAGACATATATATATAACATATACATATATTTATATATTATAGAATATATATATATATATCACTTATATATATATACTATATTTATACATACATATATATATATACATTTATATATACATATATATATACATATTTATATTAAAAAAATTTATATATTATACATATATATATATTCATATATTTATATACATATATATATATTTACATATATATATATACATATATATATATATATACAATATATATATATACATATAATATATACATAATATATATATTACATATATATATATATACATTTATATATTATATTTTATATATATATATTATTATTTTATTTATATATATATATTTAGTATATATATATATTATTTATATATATACCTATATATATACATATATTTGCCAATGCCTGTGCATGGCTGGCGGTTGATGTCCGGAGGCCATCAGACCCTTTTTCTTTGGTGCCTCATTGTGTGCCCTCCGCAAAAAGGATGGCGGAATCAGGCACATTGCACGTGGGTAACACCCTTCGGGCTCTAGTCGCCAGGCTGCGTAAGAAGGGTGTTGAGTCCAAGAGGCTGCTGCAATGCTGGATGAAACCCAACTCAGCTCGGTTTCGGCGTTAACAGGGCTGTGATGCAGCTGCCCACGCAGCACGTGTATATATCAATACAAACATGTCCTATGAAAAAGCCTTGTTTAGTCAAATTGGACTTTGCCATGCTTTCAACTCAGTCTGAGGGATGCTGCTCTCAGCAGTTATAGAAACTTCCATTTTCCCTTATCCCTTCATAGAATCGTGTTATAGTGTGAACTTCCCCCCCCCCCAACCTATTGTTTGGGGACCTTGAAATTGGACTCAGTAGTGAGGGCGGTGCACAAGGGGGACCCTCTCGCCCCTTTCTATTTTGTTTGGTCATCAATGGTTGTCACGGAGGCAACTCTCAGCGAGATCATTATCTTGGTTCTGGACGACGGTACCTGGCTGCACAAACAGAGTCTCTACCTGGAGGACATCAGTAAATTAAGACATGGGAGTAGAGAAAGCCTGGGCTTTCTTGAACCCCTCCAAATTGTGAAATAGTTTTACCAATCAACAGTTGATAAGAATATTAGTACCGTTTTTACCAGGGCACGAGCCATTGATCCAGCCATAGCACTTCCTCGGTGATCCTCTTGGGTCAATCGCCATCGATCTGGTCCCCTAGGAAAAATAGTCTCAGACTCCGGACGATGGAAACGAGGATGAAAGACATTGTCACACCGATGCTTCTACTCCTCACCAGGTGCCTGTCAACGCAAAACTTACCTATTTTCTGAGATGCTCCCAGGCCTCAGCAGTCCAAAAACTCAAGGAATATGACTCTCTCCTGAGGCATGCTGAGAGTGTATTGAATCTTGTCCCTTGACGTTGTGAACAGTGGTTGCAAGCCTCACTTCGGTTCAGGACCTTGGAGGGCTAGAGCACGCAGTTCCTCCCAGATTGCTCTACAGCTTTCCTATCCTCTTCATTGCATGCTCTAACGAGTTTGATAAGACAAATTCTTCCATGACACCCTCAGTGACTCAGCAGGAATAGAAGACTAGCTTGTCATGCCATCACCGATTGGGAGAGACTCTGGCTGCTCCAGCACCAAACCCTAGTGCAGCTTTGGCTCCAAACAGTCTAGCTGGGATAGCCAATTGCTGCAAAGGTTGGATTGCCAACATGCTCAGGGCTGCAACATCAGAAGGGAGATTGCCTCTCCAGGCGGTGAGTGACCTCACTCCGGGGACTTCTCCAAACAGTTCCCATATCGGCAATTGGGGAATCGCGGACTCGACCCTAAGA